GAGTATTTGAAGGTAAAAAACATCGATTTTGTGGGCCATCCTGCATACTGTCCTGACTTGACACCGGGTTATTTCTTTCCGTTACGGAAAATGAAAAACAAACTACTGGTTAAAGGTTTAAAACGCTAGATTAGGCGATCTCAAAAAATATTTCTGAGCAAAGTGTATGTATGATCTTAAAAACGAATATTTTGAAAAACAATAAGTTCATTTTCCAAAAATATGTTTTCTTCCCTTCCTTTCCAACAATATTTTTCACTAGTTTTTTATCAACCCTATAATTTTTCACCCTCAAATCTACCCCATAATGAGAGCGATTCCGCTAGCTAATATTCAAACTAACCGAATTTTTTTAACAAAATGTTCGGGTAGGTTTTTACGATTTTATTACCACCCTAGTAATTTTTCACGCTCCAAACCACCTCTCGTTGGAAGTCAACAATTATTATTTTTCACCCCTAAACCAATAGTATTTGAAAACGTTCCCGCTAACTTAATATTCAAGTCAGCAGAATTCTTTTTGAAATACAAAAGCAGTGTTCTGCTAGGTTTGTACTGATTTATTTCCATCATAGTAATTTTTCACTCCTCAACTAACCCTTGGTATGTCATGGTAGAGGCAACAAAATAAAAAAAAATCATGTTCAAGTACCATTGTGTCCTGCAAAGTTTTTGCTATTCGTTTCCACCTCAACTACCTGTTATGAGAAGCATAAAATAATAATTCTGTTAGGTTGAATTTTGAACTGACAAAACAAAAATTAAAAAAGGTATTTTTGATCATTTTTCTTCATTGTACTTTTACGTCAACCTGTTACTATTTTTTATTATCTTCATATTTTTCACCTTAGCACACCGAACTTACAAGTCCGCACTTTAGGCTGTAATTTTGGGGGGCTTAAAGTCGTACTTTTTCGTCCGGTATAAAATATGCACGTTTTCGCATGTCAAGAGTTGAAAATTAGCTATTGGGACCGTGCAAGTTCGGAACAGCTACACCTGGTGTCGTAAATCAGCCAAATTTACTGCGCTTTCATGCTAGATCGAGGTTACCGGATAACTGTCAAGGACGTGGCCCCAAAAAAGAATAAGAAGAAAAAGTAAGATTGAGGTTATGTCGGTATGTTTTTAAAAGGTAAACGTTGATGTAGCGTAAATACAAATAAATATATTATTGAATTACAGCATTACTGTTAATATGGATGCAATAATAAAAACTGGATTTGAGAAAGTAAATCACCAAATAACTTTTCAACCAAGCACGAGTCAAAGGAAAAGCTTTAGTAGTGGCAAATGTCAAAAAAGATTGGAAGAATTATGTGGAGTGAAAGAATTAAGAAAAATAAATTACCATAAAATAATGCTAATGCATAAATTAGCAGTTAAGCCATGATATCATCATATTGGTTTGAACAATTAATTCTTTCCCTGTAAATTTTTGGACAGCGAATATATCTTAATGAATCTTCATAAAAACTTGAACTTGATGCATTTTTGTAAACTTAAAAAAAAATAAAATTCAAACATTAAACTTGATTTTTGTTAAAATGAACTCTAAGTGAGTGTTATGAAACTAAAATTTACACTTAATAGTGAACTTTTATTTATTATTTATTTCAAACTGACTTTAAAATCGGGCGCAAGAATAATGCATAATTTAGTTATTTACTTATGCTTTTTTTATAATATAAATCCACTTTTCTCTCTTAGTAGTAGCTTTGTGCTTCGAAGTTTGAAACGAATAAAACTTAAATTGACAATTTTTTGTGGTATTTTTACAATTTATAACACAGCATTTCCTAAAATCCCATTTTGTTCAGTGACAGAAGGTGTAAATAAACAAAACGAATATGAAATATGACAATTGACAATATGAATTTTATGAAATCTATAATCTATGAAATGTACAGTAAAAAAAGCAAGATTTCTCCACTACTCGCGCACGATCGTTTCTCGTAATCCCTCCAAGTACTTGCACGTCGCCAATAGATGTGATCGTGCCTAAATGAAGGTGATGCACTGTTTTTTACTATTAAAAATGACTGAAAAAATATTGTACTAGGCATAAAAAATTAATCTAAATAGTATTTTTGGTTATTTTTTATTAAAAACGAAAGCTCAGGGTATCTTAAACAGATTTTTTAAGACTGAAATTTAGTCTATACGCTTGCTCGATGTCCGTATACTTTTTGGAGTTTTTCTATGAGCTGATTCCGAAATTTAACAAGAAAAATTCTCAATTTTGCGGCTGCTTAAAGTTTTAGACAATAAATATAGACAAATAAAAAAACTTCAAATAAAGTTTTATTTGAAACAAAGAAAGAACAGAAGCACCAAAAAATTTAAGGATGATACAGGGCTGACAATATATATATATATATATATATATATACTATATATATATATATATATATATATATCCGGTTTTTTAGGCGTTACACCCGTCTGGTAGGGATCTATGGAGGAGTATCACCGAGCCGCAAGCCCTTATCTCTTGCCGTACTGCTCCACCATAGGCCGATCAGAACCCAGCATATCCTAGTCTAAGCCGCAAATTCATCTAGAATTTTAAACTGCTGCGTTAGACATTTTGTTTTCTGTACACAGCTGTGGGCTCGACCCACATCCACTAAACCATTCGACAGTGAAGCGAATGAGAGGCAGCCGCACAGCCCGCTGAGCTATCTGACCGACGGCCTGACATTATACGAGAAGAATTGAATATGCAATGAAACATGCTATAGATGGTAAATCTCCCGGGCCTGATGAAGTTCCTATCGAATTACTTAAATTGTGAATACTGAATCTACTGATCTTCTTTTTGATCTATTCAATACTTAGAACAGGTATAATACCAAAAGAATGGCTCCAATCAACATTCATACTGCTTCCCAAAAAAGCCAATGCAAAGGAGTGCAATGAACATCGCACCATGCTTAATGAGTCATGTCTTGAAATTGGTTTTTTAAAGTAATTCACAATAGAATACATAAGAAATTAGATGAAGGCATAAGTAATACACAAATGGGATTTAGGAAAGGTCTGGGAACACGAGATGCACTGTTTGCAGTAAGTGTTCTTTCGCAGAGATGCTTAGAATATAATCAGGAGTATATGCCTGTTTCATTGATTTTGAGAAGGCATTTGACAGAGTGCAGCATAATCGACTAAAGAAATTTTATTAAATAAAAACATAGACAGTAGAGACATTAGAATCATCTGTAACCTCTATTGGAATCAAACAGCAAAAGTGAAAGTTTGAAAACGAACTGACCAAGGATATCCAGATTCGCCGTGGGGTCCGCCAAGGTGTATATCACCCTTTTTATCACATTATATTCATTTATACAGTGAAGCCATCTCAGAATTAGCGCGTGCCGAGATCAGTGAGGGCCTTAAATAATCGTTGAGCCACTTAATAACATAAGATATGCTGACGACACCGTCCCTTTTGGCATGGAACACTAGAAGAACTGCAACACCTTGCTGAACAACTAAATATATATTGCAACGATTATGGACTAAAATCAATTTGAAGAAAACCAAGTTCATGGTATTTTACAAAAAGCACAAAACATCAAGTTTAAGCTAGTACTAAGATAATACAGAAATTGAACAAATATCTTCGTACAAATACCTTGGAGCAATGGATCACAGAAGATACTGATCAGACAAAAGAAATAAATGCCGCATTGAAATTGCGCGGTCAACTTTTATTAGAATGAGAAACTTTTTTGTAATCGCGATATCAATATATCGCTCCGGATAAGAATGCTTCGATGTTATATTTTCTCTACCCTTTGATATGGAGTTGAAGCTTGGACACTAAAAAAATCCTGTAAAATTAAAAACCTAGAAGCATTCGAAATGTGGTGTTACCGACGCATTGAAAATATCATGGATGGATCGCAAAACAAACGAACAAGTTCTCGAACAACTAGGAAAACAATGCGAAGTTTTAAAATTCCATAAAGATCAGGAATTGGAATACTTGGGGCACATCATGAGAGGTGAAAAGTACGAACTACTAAGGAATATAATGCAGGGTAAAATCAAAGGTAGAAGAAGCGTAGGAAGACGTAAAATCTCGTGGCTACGCAATCTCCGTGAGTGGTTTGGATGCAGTTCAATTGAACTATTCAGGCGAGTAACTAATAAAATTATAATTGCCAGAATGATTTCCAATCTCCGATAGGAGTGGAACTTGAAGAAGGAGAAAGTTTAGACAATGAATTTTTATGCAGCGGACGCGCGCTCGTGCAAAAACTAATTACGATCATACGCAATGACAGGTCGCCTACTGCGTCCGTGCATAAAAATGAAATGTTTCAGCGCATAGACCATAGAAAAACACCAAAAAGCTTCTTCTAACCTTGGCCAAAAAAAATTTACGGGAATCGACTAAGCGTATTTTAAAAGAATAATTTAAGCATTAATCATTTAATTAAGGTAAGCTCAAAAGAATCATTTGGCGCATTAAAACGCCTTAAAAATCATCGGATTTGAATTCTACAGACAGTTTTGCATTGTAAATGCGTATCCAGATGTTTTTTTTCCTACACCTACTCCTTCGGAGTTGTAAAGCATTAATATAAACAATTTTTTTCTTGAAAATTTTCCGATTGGCTGTTGACTTTCCACAAGTAGTTGAGGGGTGAAAACTTACTAGGGTGGTAATAAATTCGTAAAAGCCTAGCAGAGCACTGTGATATTTCAAAAATAATTTTTGTTCGAATTGTGCTAGCGGAATCACTTCCATTAGGGCTAGGTATGACGGTGAAAAACATATGGTGTATATTTAGGTGCTCATGTGTCCCTACTAGTTTAAGGGTCCTAGTTGGATGCGCTTGAGAAAGAGCCCGGAGTTTCTAAGAAAACATTCTATATACTAAAACGTTTCAGCCTTATTCTAGAAAGTTCAAAGCTAATTTTGTCCAATAAAAAATATGAATATTATTTAAAAATATAAATTGATTATTAATAAAATGCATTGTTTCCAGACCCAGCGTCCTGAAATCGGAATAATGCAAGCCCTAGAATCTCTAAACGATACCCAAGTGAATGAATTCCTGTGTGGTAAAGCACCGCTCAATCTCAGTATGCGTTTGGGAGATCACATGATGCTCATCCAGCTACAACTCAGTACCGTTTCGGGTGTTAAACCGCCCAACTCTCCCACGCCCGCATCTCCCACGCCCTCGTCCTCTTCTACCATTCCCGGAGCATGTACTGTTCCCCAATCAGCGAATCCACCCACCAACCCTCCTAGTCTATTGCAGGCCTCGCGCAACCTGCAGCACACACTTAGAAGACTGTCTGCTGATGTGTTCTCTGGAAAAGATAGAGGTAAGTGCTTTCTTTATATAAAATTTGTTAAATAAGATGAGTGAGAGATGTATAAATATCGACACGTTTGTGCTTTTGTACTTTCTCATCCTCTGTTCGGTATAAAATTTTCCAAAACGTCCTTGAAAATTTCCTTTATCGCTAAGAAACTTTTATAGGACGACCCGATCATACGTAAATGTGATCTAGAACATTTTTTCTGCAATAAACAAACATACCTTTACGGAACTCAACTCAATCTTTATAAGCAACCACAGCTATAGCTAAAAGTATTATAAAACCACGGTATTATTAGTTTTAATTTGATATAAAAAAGTATTCAATGACTGCCTTAGTTTTTTTTATCCGCATCAACCACTGGTGTTATTAGCGGTAAGTTTATAATACAAATTGAGAAAATAAGGTACATTTTGTAACCAGGCTGGTGGTGTATCTTGAATATTGCCTTGGCTGAGGTGTACTCTGGACATTCTATTATTATATGGTGTTTGGCAAATTGGTAGTGGTTCTTTGGTGATTATGTAGCCGTGCGTAAGTCGTGTAAGATAAGATAAGTACCTGGTCTTTTCGTTCAGGTGGTATAGGAATATTTTTTGAAGATACGTCTGGTTTGATGCTTTTAGGATTTGTGTTTGTTTGATCCCATATTTCTTGCCAGAATTTATTTACATGAGTCTTGAATAAAGTTTTAGTATCTGATATTGGTATACTTGTTGTAGTTGGAATGTTCACATTGTTTATTGCTTCAAACGTTTTGTCTCCTAGCTCATTACCAGTTATTCCGACATGTGATGATATGGTCTTCCCAGAAAATTCTAGCTGTTGCAACGCGTCTTAGAAATAGGTTGATGTGTGTAGGATAAACATGTTTAATGGTCTGTAAAGAACTTAATAAATCTGATATGTATTAGTATTTGTTTTTCATTTGTGGTTTTACAATGATTTAGTGCGTCAAGTATTGCTTGGAGCTCTGCAGTATAAACACCACAGCCGTCAGTTGATCTAGTGGCAGAAATTTTGCCTCCCGTTTTCTGATACAGTAGCAGCTGCTACTCCGTTGCAATCTTTGGAGGCATCAGTGAAGAACAATTTGTAAGTGGAATATTTGAGTAAATTTGCATGATACTGAAGCCTGACCTCAGCGGAAATGTGTGAGTGCTTATTATGATTAAGTAAGGAGAAGTCTACTATTGGTAAATAAACTGTCGAGGGAGGTGTCTGGTATATTTTTATGAGTGCCAAGGTGATTTGATTGATAGAATACTAGAGTCGTTTAACTTGTTCGTAAATGGTACTGTATTGGTGGTGATTTGTGTATTGTTCTAGTGATTCTTCCGATACTAAACTTGCGAGAAAGGTGTGATTGCCTCAGTTTTATTTTCGGCAAATACGAAAACTAATTTGGGCAAAATGTGAACATTTGTTAGTCAATTTGGTTGTGCATTGTTGGCAACACGGAACCTCATCTAAACTTTCCTCCATATTTTAATATTTCGACAATGTCGTCTTGCCCGGCGCTTATTAAAATAAAACCAAACCAAAATAACAATATCTCCTTATAAACAGAGATCTGTCTTAGACAAAATTATTTGTTTATTTGATTTTTATTATAGTTTATTCTCGAATAATTTAAATGATTATACAGACTGAAAGTTTAATAACATTTGGGCCCATAACCTTCAAATCGACAGTGATAAGAATATCCACTTGCTGTAAATCCAAGCGTTATATTAAAACTTAATATCGCATTTTCTATTTATTACAATAATGTTTACATGTTATTGCTATGCATCAGCATAATCATAACTTTTTTAAATATAAATAAGATTGTTTACCTGTAGTTAATTTGTTGAACTCGTAAAATTTCTTATGGTGTTGTTCGATAGTAAAAAAAGTCACGGTCATTTTTCAATGTTATTTTCTTGAGTTCGTAAATAATGAGTAGTTATTTGCGAAATATTTCAGAAATTTGTACAAGAAAACGTTTTTTATTAATGTTGCAGTTGATTACAATTTACAGATCTAAGATCTAATTATCTATCCCACTCATTAGCTTCCCAGATTGATCCTACGACTTTGTAGAACTTGAACCAAATGAATTCTTACAATCTAGATTCCTTATTATGCCATCTTCTTTCGAAGATTGATTATCCAAATGACAATTGCAAGTTCTTTAACAATGAATTTTGTCATCTGGCTGCTGATATTGTCATCAAGTGCCGATAGCTATCGATCAACAGCGAACACTTGATCTGCATTCGCCCCGCCCACCTTACCTTTCTCTGAATTTTCATTGGTCTTTTGGTTTGGAATTCATATGAAATATTATGTATAAATATGAGTCGAATTCCAAGCCAAAGACAGTTCAGTTCCTACCTCGGTCTCTCCTAGAGCTCGAAACTCTAGGGAGCCGAACACCGGGGCTCTGCCTCATTTCTTTTTCGCCTTAGACTCTGAGGCTGTTTGTCTACTTGAAATTGTGTTTTATTTTCTGCATTCTTCGGTGCAAGTGCATATTTGTTCATGTAAGAAGTTCGACTGTCTTTATCAAGACAGTCCCTTTCTGTAAGAAATAATTAACTGTGTCTTTCTCAAGACATCAGTCAATACTTCGACTTGTAAGAAATTAACTGTGTCCTTTTCAGAACACAGTATCCTGTTAATCCACGTCCCAACTTACATTGGATAAGTGCCTAGGATATTTCGCAAGCTATACGCGAATATCCTAGTGCAGAGCGTATAGCGGAGTAGACGATGTTATAGGTCTTACTTTCCGCTGAGACGACAATATTTTAACTTGTATTATGCGTCGAAGCTTGAATCTCTTTCATCTCTCAATACATGTTAGTTATTTTTTTTTTCATGTTAATATAAAATAAAGTACGTACATATGTCAAAAATAATATAATTTATTGGTTCACCAATGTGAGGAGAAAATATACCATCCCTAACATATTATAAAACATAAGTCATACTATAAAATAATGCATACATTAGTTAAGACAAACATTACATTCTGGATTCCCCGGTATAAACAGAATAGGACTCATCAATCCACAACCCAGTTCCAAACATTACAGTTAATATGTAAAAAATCATCTTCTTATTTTTCTTAACGTGACCTATCAAGTCCCCTTGACGTTGGCGATTAACATGGCGAAACTGTCTCTGTCTCGAGCTATTCTAAAGAGTTGCTCAGCTTTCCTTATTCCTGTCCATTCTCTGATATTCTTCAACCAAGAGGCCTGTTTTCTACCAATTCCTCTGCGTCCTTCGATTTTACCCATCATAATAAGTTGAAGAAAATTGTATCGGTCTCCCCTTACTACGTGTCCAAAATAGGCCATCTTTCTACATTTGATGTTATCAAGCAGCTCGCGAGCAGCATTTGCTCTCAAGGATTGCCAAATTTGTCAGCATAGACGTCCATGGCATTTTTAATATACGTCTGTGCAGCCACATTTCAAAGGCCTCCAGACGATTAATGGTGGATATTTTTAATGTCCATGCTTTGACACCGTATAAGAGGACTGACCAAATATAGCATTTAACATTATTCATTCAGAAGAATGACCTCATTTTTAAAAATGTCGTGCGGGTTATCTCGATTCTCTATTTTATCTCTTGATCTGGATCTAGTTGTTCAGTAATATGGCAACCAAGATAATTAAAACTGGACACTCTTTGAATTATATGACCATCAACATATAATCGTGCATCTTGATGTGCTAAACGGCTAAACACCATGTGTTTTGTTTTTTAACAGTTTATATTTAGGCCAAATTCTCTTCCCACTGTATCAATGGCATTTAAAAGGCATTGTAGTCCATTCATGTCATCACTTAAAATAACTGTATCGTCTGCATCTGATTGTATTTATCAGAATTCCATTAACTTTCACGCCCCATTCCAAATTATGCAGCGCTTCTTTAAATATTCTATCTGAATATAAATTAAATAACAGTGGGGATAGTATACAACCCTGTCTGACACCTCTTTGTATTTTACATATTTCTGTTGATTTTCCATTTATGCAAGCTGTCGCTGTTTGACGCCAGTATAACTTTTCTATGAATCGTATGTCTTGACTATCAACTCCTTTATCTTTTAATATTGTAATTAATTTGTGATGCTGTACTCGATCAAAGACCTTTTCATAGTCAATAAATACAGCAAAGACGTCTTTCCTTTGATCTCGACATTTCTGCAGTAATACATTTAGGGCAAAGAGGGCGTCCCGAGTTCCCAGTCCATTTCTGAAACCAAATTGTGTTTCATCCTGGTCTTCTTCACATTTATCTCTGATTCTACTGTGGATGATGCGTAGAAATATTTTCAAAGTGTGGCTCATAAGGCTTATCATTCTATAATCGTTACAATTTTAGGACGTTGTTTTTTTTTTTTTGGTAGTGTTATGAATTTGGACTTAAACAAATCTTCAGAGATATCACCAGTCGAATAAACATCATTGAAAAGCTTGACCAGTATTCCAATGTTTCTCCTCATTTATAAGCTTTAACATCTCTGTCGGTATGTTATCAGGGCCAACGGCTTTCTTGTTCTTTGCTAACTTTATAGCATGCAGTATTTCTGATTTTAGTATTTCTGGTCCTTCACCTTCAACTAAAGTCTCCAGTTCTTCGGGTCTATCATCATTATACAGTTCACTTATATAATTACACCAGGTTGTTCGAATTTCATGTTGGTCTATTATCATTTTTCCCGACGAATCGGTTATAGTATGTAGAGTTTTCTTATGATAAAGACCAGCTGCTTCTCTAACTTTTTTAAACATATTAATCGTATCATGTTTTTCATTCAACTTTTCTATTTCCTTGCATTTATCCTCCATCTATTTTTCTTTAGCCACCTTTATTTTTTGTTTAATTAGTTTCATTTTTTTCCTTATATTCTGTCTTGTTACCTTTCAGTTTCCTTCTCTGCTCCATTAATTCCAGGATTTCATCAGTCATCCATTGTTGTTTTTTGTGCCTGTGTAACATTGTTGAATATTTTTCTATTACTTTCAAGATAAGATCTTTAAATGGGTTCCATATTTCTGTGTTGTTTTCATTTATTGGTTTCTTTAGCTCATTGTTTAAGTCATTTTCTATTAACGTTTTGTTGGATATTGAGATATTTAATTTTGGTGTTTTGGGGCTTTCTTGGACTTTCTTGAGCTTCACTTTGATGTCAGTTATTACAGGATTATGGTCTGAACCGATATCTGCACCAGGATATGTCGTTACTCTGGTGACGCCAAAAAATCATCACTGCTATAAAATGCCTGACCCATGAGAAAATTCGTGTTTTTTTTTTTAATTTTCAACTTGGTAATTCAGTAATTGCAGAAGGCAGCTTGTTGTAAAATGTTGTACCATAAGAGTTTGGTCCGTCCGTTACATTGAATGACTTACATGAATCAAGATTTAACAGATACTCATCAGATGGGCGGCCTAGGATATGGAGAAGAGCTGGTGAACGTTATCAGCCATGTTGTTTTACTCCGAGAGTTCAATTTGATGGAGGTGGTATAATGGCGTGGCTAGAGGCTCATACACAACTTACAATTCAATGGGACAATTTGAACGCTGAACGGTATATTCAGCAATGTTTGGACGATCATGTAGTGCTATTTGTCCCATTTTTTGGAGAAAACTTTCGTCTGATGCAAGATAATGCTCGTCCGCAAATCGTAAGAATATCACGGGATTACTTAGATGAAGTTGGGATTCTTTTACTTTTACTACCATGGCCCTCAAGGAGTGCTAACTCAAATCCAATATGGCATGCATGGGAAATTCTGAGATGAAGTATTCGATGTAACCATGGTGAGTTTGAAATCATGAATGATTTGGAGCAAGCAGTTCGTGACGAATGGGAGCAAATCCCTTAAGTAGACTTTAATGCCTTAGTCGTGGAGGTAATACACTCTACTAAATATCGTTTTCTGTATAAAATATATTGAAAAAAATACAATTACTGGATACGAAACTGGATAATATTAGAAAACTGTATACGAAAAGTAACATGTGATTTGTAAGTTTATCAATTGTATAATGTATGATTTTTTACCGTGTTTAAATTGTTTTTATAATATTAATATTAATTTCAAATATTAATAAATTGTTTTATTTTTTGTCCTTTATTTGATTCGAACTCAAATATGATTAAGGCGAATAAAATCATACGTTTCGCAGTCAATATTCCAAACACAAACAAGGTAGATAAATATTACCCATTATGAACGTATGAAAGCATTTGGTCTTTTAATAATTGTGTTTGATAAATTCATTGGCATGCTTCCCACTGTTTATCAAATCTTAAAAGATAATATTTGTAATTGTGTTCATTATTATTATGCGCTTATTTTGTGTACTCGTGATAAGTATATCGTTCAGGTTTAAATAAACTACTTCATATTTCTTATCTTAATCCCATTCGTCGAATAAATTTCAACTTCGCATTATTATAAGCATCAATCTTAATTATTTTGGCGGAGACATTATCAATATCCACGCCTTTTTGAAGAGATAAGAGATGATAGACCGGTTATTTTTAGTTGTAAACAGCACAGCGGTTTGTTGTTCTTCCTTAAAATCTTGGTCTTAAATGAATGTTTGTTTTTTCTTTTTTAAATTCTCCTATTTAAATATGTCTGTTGCGTTATATTCCTATAGTCCATTTCCATCATATTGATAGCACATTATGTATGCAAATCCCTAAACTGTTGATACGAGTGACTCAATGAAAAATAGATATTTGTCAACAAGTTTACAGAAGTATATAGGAAAAACAATTTTAAATTGAGTATGACCACCAGGTATAAAGGTTGAAGCAGAATAGAATACAATAGTTTTGAGGGTTACTAAACCCTAAATAAAGTTGCCAGTGTCGGAGTGATAGAGATTAACAGGTACTAATGAATTTGCAAGAAATGTAAGATGTTTGTTTTATTGGTTATATATAAAATAATTTGTGGCCGTAACAAGGGCCGATTTGTAAAAAAATGAATATTATTTTAATCAAATTCCATTTCAGATTCACTGCTTTCTTCAGAATCTAAGGAATCTTCAACTCCAATGTTAATTATTACCGGTTCCAGTTTTGCATCAGTCATATTATCCAAATTCCACATTTTATTTTCTTCCTTGTGAGCATGACTAACAGCATTTTTCCAATTTTCTGGAGTTACTTTTGATAAGGAATGTTCTAAATTGTTGTAAGTCTTCTAATTTAAAAGTTTTGTTGTTTCGTCCGACTTCACCCTTTACTTGGGACCATATATTTTCTATCGGATTCAGATCACAGTGGTATGGGGGTAAACGTAAAATAATTACATCACGGTTTAATGCCATTTCATCAATTATATATTTTTTATAAGCTGCTTTATGTTGCCTTACAATAGGTAATAATTCCTTTTTTTCCTTCCTGTCTTTTGATTTGTATCTTCCTGTCTTTTGATTTCTTTTTCTTTGTTCTCCTGAAGAAGCTACATACAATTGTAGCGAAACGTCGAGATGAACCCACTTTTGGGTCACTCACAAATGACACGGTCCAAAGCCGGAAGACGAATAAACTATAATTCCTTTTTTGTCGAATTCTCCTTGTACTCAATTACGTGTTTATCCAACCATTCGATTATGCTCCTTTTTTCCATGCCGTTGTTGGCAATTTTTCTGCTAGTCTTGAATGGTAAAGTTTTGGTGATTGGTTGTATGCGGTTTCTAGATGTTGAGAAAATATTTAATTTTCTTCGGCAAGATAGTTTTTTCTGTACATTTGGACTCTCCAAACATTAAATTTTCTGTGTTTTTTTTAGCATAGAACCAATTGGATCATTTTCGATGCCATTATCCAAGTGTCCCTTAAACAGTGAATTTTCGCGTACTCTGTGTACATTGTACAATGTTTATTACACTACATAAGATAAAAATAATAAAATTGTATTACAATATTGTGTTACTAGACAAAAATTGTCCTCTCATTGGCTCTAAGCCCTAGAATTTTTTTTACAATTTAGGAACTGAAATTTAGAAGATATTATGCATAACATTTATAGTCGTCAAATAACGATTTTATTTTATCGGTAACATTTTTATTTTTATTATTCTTTGGCAACACGGTAAGTTTTGATAGGAGCACCACGTCCGCTTATACTTTTTAAGAGCAGGAGTTAAAGAGAATGTTGTTTCAGGCCGTCGAGAAAGTGTCTATTCCGGAACCTTCAGCGGAGCTTTAAATCCAGCTTTACAAGATCCCAAGGGTCGACCTCGACGCGACGTTGCCACTATCGTACACATTCTTAATGATCTCCTTTGTTCCGTACCGGAACTTCGTAGGGTAAGTTTTTCAATGTTGTTATACTAAGATATGATTGTGTCTTTCATTGTAAATACATAACCGAATTTTAGAATAACAAGATTTTTGCAAATTAAGTAAAAAATAAAAATACTCATTTGTGAGTGTTTTCAATTTTTTATTATTTATTACACATCAAAATTATAATAATTCGTAGTGTTACAGCCTGTGTAACATATCTACAAAACATATTTCTTTCTTATTACTGTCCTAATATATTGTTTACAGAGTACGCCTCTGTAATATAATACTTTGCAATCTATTTTTAAATGTATCTTTACCACAAAAAAGGTCGAGATTTTCATTTAATGTAGGGTAAAACACCCAGTAGTTATCCTATTAGTGAGAATCTTAGTTTGTTTCAATTGCATATAAAAAAAATAAAGGCGTTAAATAAAAACAAATATTTTTATCAGAAACTTTGTTTATTAAATTATCGAAAGAGATTAACTAAATGTTATTATTATGTTATAATTATAGAAACAAAATTTCTTTTCACCTGTAGCCAGCCTCATTTCTTCGCAAGTCAGCCATGTCTACCCTGTAGTCAGCCACTTACTTATTCTTGCATGTTGGACATAGAAAATGTCAATTAAGTAAATGTTCAAAGTGGGTTCCTTTGTTTTGTATACAATAATATAGCCTATTTTCTAATTCTGCACGAACTTTTACAAATGTTGTTCTAGTAATAGCGCAACATGCTTGTGTAACTCTTTCTCGCAATTCCCCAAGTGACGCAGATTGAGTTTTATAAATAACTGACTTGAGGTAACCCCATAGAAAAAAAGTCAGGTGGCGGTAAGTCTGGTGATCTCGGTGGCCACTCAATAGGACCTCTCCTTCTAATCCATTTGTTCGGATAATTAGTATCCAAACAGCAGTATAGAAAAGTCAGTGATACGCCCATTTCAAATCGCAGTGTGCTTTAACTGCTAAAACAGACTTAAGCGAAATGCGTCCCCAGGTATGACTTGATTCACATCGCGCCGGCTATTATTTTTGGACACCTTGTATGTCTGAAGACATTGTGAAACAATTCTTATTTTTATAATTTTTTCTTGTTTAGGTTACTCGCAAAGGTTCCGAAGAACCCACCGCCCACGTCCCCGTCGAACAGCAAGACGAACCGATGATAACCACGTCGTGCAGCGAAGATCAGAACCTGAGAACTCGCGGCAAGTTGGAACACCTCAGGCTCGTCATGGGTGAGAGACGGGAACGTAGGAGACAACGTAAACAGAAACCTTATTCGCTACCTCAGAGTGACACTGACACTGTCACCGCATGAAACACAGCTTCCTTGTACATAGGTTATTAGTTTTTATTTTCGAGATGGTGAAGCTGATGAGATAAGGGGGGTCGAAGTAACGTACGTGACGTAGGTAATAGCGTTTTATTTATTCTTGGGATTCTTTTCAAATAGTATTCACTATAATAAATTAGCAGCTGTTTGAGAGTTCCTACTAAATTTAGAGATCTTTAAAATTTAAAATTTTACATGTTTTTTGTTTATGTTCCAAAATGTTTAAAAAAAAATAAAAATATATAGCAACAGACAACTCCTTAACATAGCCTGATAGTTTGGTAAGTTAAAGATTCTCTTTATGTCTAGAAGTTTCTCTCTATTTTTGATATTTCTTAGTGTCGGACCGTTTTGTGTTCTAGTGTTCAAAATAGTAGACTGAACAAAGTCTTCTGGTTGTTGTGTAGGTCCATATTCGTCTTCCAGTGGCACTAAAGTCCAAATTGGGAATCTGCCTTCTGTAACTTCTACTTCAACATTGCCAATCACGCTCCAGTTGCTTTCAAGCTTTGGAGCCCATTAGATTTTGTGCTTTCACTATCACTTCACTCTTCCATCTTCTCCGTGGACTCTCATTTGCCTTGTATTTTTTTGTCTGGAGTTCTTTTTGGCAATATGTCGTCATCCATGCTACAGTCATTACATGGCTAGCATATAAAAGTCTCTGGAGCTTAGCGGATTCTAGATATAGGTATTTGTTTGGACATTTTGTAAACTTAATGGTTCTGTCTGTCTCGCATCCATATGATATTGTTGGTCTAAAGAATAAAGATGGCTCTATAAATTTTACTCTAGTATTTAAATTATATATATGTATTTTCTGTGTACTTTTGGGGCGGAATATCCCTAAGTGGCAGATAACACTAATACCTCACAGATATGGCACTGAATGAATACCGAGCTTTCGATCGTTTCGACCGTAGGAATTTGCTAACTCGAGGCGAAAATTCCTCATTTCGCGCACCTCACTATAAATGAGTTGTATATATGTGAGAAAGAATTGAAATCCGTGGTGAATTCATAATATCTAAGCAAATTGAAGCGGATATTACGAGTTAAAGATATTGTCTACCCTTATGAATGCCCATTCAGTTTTCTCGAATCTCTGTTCTATTTCTTTTGTTACGGTTGTATCAGTAAGTGTGTCGATACTCGTCATAATGGCTTGTGATTAAAAAATAAACTTAGTTGTTTCGTATTATATTATAGTTCTAGCTAATTTTTTCGCCTGACTGTTATTTCTCGTGTTGTTGTTGTTTGTATGTCTTCAATATGGTCGGCGAAAATAGCGACTCACTATAACTGGTTCTGCATTATTTCGTATCTATTAGGAACCTCCTGGGAACTTTGATATATCCAAAAACTATTATGGAATATTCGAATCATGACGTAGCTTCCCTCCTTCAGCGGCGTAGAAAAGGGGTAGGCTCGATTATATTAAAGTATTTTATTTTAGTTAATATCTATTATTTATAGTTATCTTTTAATAGCTGTATATCTTTAAATCGTCTTTATTTATGTGTGCACAGAAAGGTATAAAGCATTCGAGGAATTCTCCAACAATATCGCATCTGAAATGTTCCAATTCTTCCCTTATCTGCTGTTCTAATGGTCTAGGATTCGGAGACATAACTGAATGTTGTTAAAAGGATTTATATGAAATTGGTCTTAATATTTTATGTTATATTTGTGATTTTTCATATTTTGGGTGAGGTTGGAGTAGCTGTTTCCGATAGCAAGTATTTCATGATATGTTTTTCTCTTTTACTTACTGTGTTATTTTTAATAACCATTTCAAGCCATGTAAGATTAAGTTGTTACTGTTGTTGTTAAATTTTTTTTTGTTTTTACCTGTTTTACTTCTTATGTCTAAAATATTCCTCAAATCGATAAAGCGTATATAATTTTTGTAATCTTTTCAAGGAAATATTAATCAGAAGTTCAGCCACGGTTAGGCAAGTAGATAAGCTAAGTTTGTGCCACAACAGATATAGGAAATCATTGTGTTATTGAGATAAGTACATCTTAGGTAAGGTAAGATAAGTGAAAACGATATATGTTGACGTCACAAGCCCTGTCCCAATATGGCAGTCGCCAGTAATTCGCCATTTTTAAATTAATTTACAAATTATCTTTGAGGTTTAACTATTATCTGCTAGTCTGCTCCAGTAATTCGTCATTATGACCTATTATATCTGCAGAGATGCCAAATGTCACGTTTTGGCATAAAACGTGACATTTGATATAAAATATGACATTTGAAATAAAACGTGACAAAAAATTTTTTATGTCAAATATCACGTTTTATATCAAATAATACTTATTATGTCAAATGTCACGTGTGGACTTGTCCATTTTAAATACGAAAAAAGGTAAGGAAATAACAAGGACGTTTTGCAGATATAATATATAGGCGGATTAATAATATATAGTTAACCTCAAAAATAATTTGCACATTAATTTAAAAATGGTGATTTGCTGGCGGCGGCCATATTGGGGCGGGGCTTATTACGGCCACATATATCATTTTCACTCTTACTTAGCTAAAAGGTATTTCTCTCTCTAACATATTAATTTCCGTATATCTGTAGTGACACAAACGTAGGTTATCTACTGAGGCTACTAAAACATACATAGAGTGCATTAGAGTAAAATTGTATGAAGTTTATATATGACCTCATCCTTTTAAAAATTCAATTTTCTATTGCAAATATTTTGAGTATACTTATAAAACATTAATTATACTCAATTTTATGAACATATTTTTTAGGTATAAGAGTTGCAAGGATCCTAAATGTTAAACATTACTTGGAAAAGTAAAAAAATTATAAATATTAAAGTTTTAAAATTATATAAATAGATAATTTTCTACGATTTTCTCATTTATCTCAGTTAGTTATCAGTTATAAGTTATCAGAAATTATTCCTGATAACTAACTGATATTCACTTTATAATGAAGATTTCAGTCTGTTTTTTTTTTTGTCATGATAAACTTTTGTTCGTTAATGAGAAAATCGCCAAGTATTATCTTTTTACATTTTCACGTCGTGCTTCCAGCGCTTAGGACCATGCAGCGCTTATAGCTAAACAATTTTATCATAAAATCTTTACTTTTGTAAAGTTTTATAAATGTGACAGAAGTGATAAAATCAACAACAAACAAGATGGTGACATGAAGCCCAAAATTTTACTGATCTGTTGTGTATCTTTTAGAACCGACAACGACATAATAGAACTTCAGATTAGAATGTTCCAGTTTATAACGCCAGTATAGAAGATTTCAAATTGATCATAAATTTTAAAAGAATAATTAGTTTTTATTGCATTGTTTGATATCGCCAGTATTCAATATATAACTTTTGTTTGAACAAAAAATTAAAAGGTATTACTCTTAAGATATAAAAAAAATATAATCAGATTCATCTATATTTTCTTTTGTGTATCTTCCATTGTCCTTCAACACAACAAATACACTGTCAACTTCATTTAAAAAAAATTTTATTCTTCAGATCTACTTGCTTCACATATTTAAGACAATAACAATGATTGCTATGAATGTTTATATTTATAATCAATAATGGTGGTAATGCAGATACATTCTTATCATCCTTACTTACAGGAATAGCTGTAGTTGGTAGCTCATTACATTTGAAAGCTAACAAAACAACTCAAATATTGTTTTCCCCAACTCATGAACATGCAACCAAAATGCCTATTTAATGCCAAACGTGCCTAGAATTTTCTAGTAATAAACGCAAAATTTTCTCAGGAATAGCACAAAAACTTCAAATTACCATCAATATTAAAATTTTGTTTGTATCAATAACCTTTATAAATCTCTCCGTCTATATAGGTTGATGTTTGGTTTTCTGTGCGAATAGTCCCAATATTCTTAGAATTATTTACACGTATTTCTAAAATATTGTAAAAAAATCTGAAAATAGTGACTGCAGATAAGGGGAATCATACATTTCGTTAAAAGATAATCAATTTCATATCTTATTACAATAATTAAACAAATAACACCTAAACCTACATGATTGATTATACTACTATACATATAGTTAAATTAACCTAATTGTCACAAGATTAAGCTATTTGTCAAATGAAACTCCTCAATTTAGGTGTTTCCTATAATTTTGCTAGTGAACTGTTTCGAACATAATCGAAAAAAAAAACACTTGCATCACTACATTTGCATTCATCTACATTTACTTGCCAATTTAATTATAAGATCATTATTTTAGAACTAATCTTAGCTAATTCTATCTTAAATGACAAGCAGTTTATGTCAAAATGACAAGAACTGCTTCGTCTGCAACTGTAGCAGGCATTAGCAAAGACGATAAGGGCGATGACCTTGTATCGTCCCTCCTAACCACTCATGACTCATTAGTGTTCATTAGGAGGTCACGTTTACATCTGGAATCTGACCTAGAAACCCAGATAAAAATGTACCGTTAAAAATAAAATGTCACTTGTAAAGTCCAGATAGCTTTTTTCAAGTTTTGTGAAAGTATCATTTGAAGTAATATCCTTGCTTTGTTATATTTTCTTTTAGGTTAGTGATTGTTATGTTCGATTATCCCTGAAACTGCTTACTAGCAAAATTGGAAATTATTCCTAAATTGACACACTAATTGAGGGATTTGACATGTACCTTCACCCTGACTGGCGATATGTTTATTTTATGAGTATAGTACAAATTATTTTGGTAATGTGTTATATTTTTTCGGCAAAATTGTATTTAACCTGATTAAAGGACTATTAATTCCTAATTTGATGTATAAAAATGAACAATTACAATACAAATATACATTCTCCAGTAGATCTAATAAAAAAAGTGCAAAAAAGGACAAATACAGTAATGGCTGTCTTATTTGCAGCTTGAATAAACTCCATCCTGCATCCAACACAGCTGAACCTGAATTTTAATTAACTTCCACTCTTACATGTAGTAAACGAGTTCTCTTGTATGCATTGTTGCCAAATTTTATTTTTCAACTTTCTAAAGATTTTTGCTTAAACAATTAAACATACAACATTGCTCATATATTTTAACGAGCAGTATTATTAAATAACCAATATTCTCAAACGTTTACGCTTTTATATTGTACATAGACTGTCCAAGTTCATATTATACATGCTTAAAACTAATTTCTTCGCAGTGATCTCATTATTTGAACTTGGATCGGTCCATTACCAATATTAAAGCAAATTATAATATCCTAGATCAATAGATTTACCTCTTTACATATACATTTTTTGATTTTGTACTCTTCTGCACCACAAAATGCTTGTACACTAGATATTTGTTGACTGATTATAAACAGCTTGTGACAAAATGCTTGCAATCTTGAATATAGTACCAATTGTTTTATAAAACGTACATTTAAAGACAGATTCTTGTTTATTTCGCTAAATTCTTATTAAAACTATCTTCCAATAGGAGAAAACCTGCTTACATACGTAGCATTTATAGCAAAGTTTATATATAACTGACACCAATAGACAATAACGACATGAAATGAAGTTGGCTCTGTTTTAACTAAGAAAAAATCACGAGTTTTTGTATCACGAACGTCACGACAATCGACCCCCCGGAAAATATGTTTCCTGTTGATGGAGTTTTA